GCTGACGAGGTTTTGGCCCCTCTTTTGGAGAACCCAGCTTGGCTACATTCTTGGCTGTCACTCTGACAACTTGAGGCGCAACTCTTGAATACAGCCTCACCCCAGATGACACTAACACTCTGTGTCTCCACATTCCGTTTTTCCTTCTCCTTCTACTACTTTACATGGAATCTAAGCCCTGGAGAGGAACGTGAACATGATTTCCCATTTCCCTTTTTTTCTTCTGTAAAGAATCAAACTTTGTATTGCATTGAAGGAGAATATTATACGAGAGGTTCTGTCAAAACCCTAGAAAAGAAACTGACTTTGTGAAGGACATGGCTTCCTCTGTTAGTTCAGTGGTAGGGAAAAGGTGCCGTGGAGGCGTGGACTGTGGTTTAAAAACGAAAAATTTTAAAAAAAAAATTAATGAAAAAGCTTAAATTTTTTAAATTAAAAACGCAATCTTTTTTTAGATGCTCAATCAAAAAAGGTTTCGATGTTTTTGAGGTATTTTTTATCGAAAAAAAAACATTAAAATAATATCTTGAATATATTAAAAATACTTAAAAATAAATGAAAAACATTAATTTTTGAGGAAAATGCATTGTCAAACGTATTACAAGACAATTTCTATATTAATAGACGAACAAGCACCCAGTTTGCACAACGCAATAATATCATTAGCAACCATGTCCAAGTTCATAGAGCTTAATAATTAGGAATATTAACTACATCATTTACTCGTGATGTGCTTTGTATCGGATTAACTTTTTTAAGAGTCGAAAAGGTGTTTATATATTTTTAATAGATTTCTCTTCATAAAATTAAATTTAATATAATTTAATTAAATTTAAAAACAATCTGAATAATTAAAAAATATATATAATTTAATTAAAAAAAATTAAGATGATATTATTTTTAATATATCAAGATAACAATATACTGGATTGATTCTAGTCAACCCAAGTTTAAGATGATATTATTTTTAATATATCAAAATAACAATATACTGGATTGATTCTAGTCGGCCCAAATTAATATATAAGATTTATGATTTAAGTTTTATGATTTGAATCATGAGTTAATATATAAGATTTATGACTTGAGTTTTATGATTTGAGTCATCTAATAGAATATAAATAAATAAAAAACATATTGAACATGAATTCTCAATTAATTTATTAAAAGATAAAAATAAAAAATAATTAAAAAATAATTCTAATCAATCTCGGTTAACCTGCCAAGCTTAGATTATGAAACAAAAATAATCAAAATAAATTATAAAACTCAATTACCAATCAATCCAATATTAAAAAATAAAACTAAATAAATAAATAAATAAATAAAACCAAGTCAATCATGTTTAACCCGTTAAATCTTGAATTTAAATCTTGAAATAAAAATAATTCTATAAAAATCAAATCAATATAAATTATAAAATTTAATTTTTAATTAATCTATCTATTGAATGATAAAAAAAACATTAATTATAAAAAAAAACTTAAATCGATCGAGTTAACCTATAAAATTATAATTTTTATAATAAGATCGAGATAGAATTAATCTATCTATTGAATGATAAAAAAACATTAATTATAAAAAAAAGCTTAAATCGAGAGTTAATCTATAAAATTTATAGTTTTTATATAATTAAAAAAATTAAAAAAAATATTATTTCAACAAATAAAAATTTACGAGAAAAATTTTATAAAAAATAAATTTAATATTAATTATAAAAATTAAAAAAAAATTATTTCAACAAATAAAAATTTATGAGAAAAGATTATAATTTTTATAATAAGATCGAGATAGTTTTATAAAAAATAAATTTAATATTAATTAAAAAAATTAAAAAAAATATTATTTCAACAAATAAAAATTTACGAGAAAAAAAACAATAATTTCCTCTCATTAATACATTCTTGTTAATATATATTATTGTACCCATTTTCTGAAGACGTGAACTCTCCTCTAGAGCCTTTGCCTCAACAAGTTGACTTGTTGAATTGACGTTGTCAGCAATGGTGCTCTTCCAAATCCGAAGCTGGAGGTTGACTTGGCCAGCACAGCTCACGGAATTTTCCAAGCGTACTTGGTATGTCACCGATGGCCGGCCCTCTGGAGATGCGGGAATATTCGAAAATATAATAATAATAATTTTTTAAAGTATTTTTTATTTTTAAAAAAATATTTTTGAAATTATCATATTAAAATAATTTAAAAATATTAATTTTAAAAAATAAAAATATTTTTAAAACATAAAAGTAAACCTAGACACCATCTTAGTCCCAGGAATCTTAGCAGCGGAGGATTTAGCTGTGTAGCATTTCATTATTGTGGAGAATGAGTGAAGACTTTTCTTTTACCTTTAGAGTTGCGATGTATCCTCTCTCTCTCTGGTCAAAATTTAAATATTTTTTATTTTAAATTATTATTTTAATATTTTTAGATTAGCTTAATATGCTGATATAAAATAAAACTAGAAAAATAAATAAATATTATTTTTTGAATATATTTATAAATTAAAAAATTAAAAAATAATATTTATCACTCTCAAATACTCAAAAATATACATTTATTAGTCAGGTAAACAAGCAGGGCTAAATTCATTATAAAATTATTTAAAAAATATATTTATTTTATATTTATTTTCATCTCTCCAACCAAACATATTTTTATTATTCTTTCATTGCGTCAAAAGCTAATTTAGCGGATATTGTTGCTAATCCAAAATATATGAAAGGCACCATTTGAAAATATAAATCATATTTTATAAAAAATTATTTTTTATGTTTTGAATTATTTTAAGGCGCTGATCTCGTAAATAATTTTTAAAAAATAAAAAAAATATTATTTTAATATATTTTAATATAAAAAATATTTTAAAAAATAATTATAACTATATTCTAAAACAAACACTCAGATAGATAAATCTAAATGAGATATTCGTGATTGTGTTTGGTAAATCTTAGATAAAATAAATAAATATAAAAAAAAATATTTTGTTGAAAAAATATTTACTAATACTCTGTACAATTTAAGATTTGTTATATCTTATCTTGTTTCATTATTCTTCTTCATCTTATATGTTGGTCGCTTTATTATCCTTTCTTTGAGACAATTAATTAGCAGGAAGATCAGTGTTATTATGTCACTCATTCTTCTCCCCATGTCATGCAGGAACATTACCCTATTCATTGTTGCATTGGACTGCTATAATTATAGGTTATAGTTACAAAACCTGAATTATGAGCTAAGTAGGTTGATGTTGGGTCAGGAGTTCAATCTAAGTTATAATTCTTTATAAAAAACCAAAACCAGTGAAAATTAATTATTTTTGTATATAAAAAAAACCTGCTATAATTACTTATAAAATTAATTATTTTTGTATATAAAAAAAATTAATTTAAAACAAAACCTAAACCAAACCAGGCTCGAATTGTTAAATCATCGAGTTACTTATTATATTAAAAAAAATATTTTTATAAGTAAAATATGTTTATTATAAAATCTATAACAAGTCTTGATTAAAACCATTAGTATTCTCGAATTGAATTGAATTATTTTTTTTAGAATTAAAGTAAATTATTAGTATTCCAAACCAACATATATCCTTCTTTAATCCTAGTGATGATTCATTTAGGCAGTTGGAATAAGAAAATTCATGAATGTAAATTTAAATGGAGAGAAAAGATATCCGAGCCAATTGATTCCTTAATAGCAAACATGCAAGTTGCCACTCCATGCACCAATCTGTCATTGATATATAAGAAAAATCGATTTGTTACTCTCCTTTCGAACCATGGTTACTAGAGTTTGTCTCGAGTTTCTCGAGTTTGACTCAGAAAAGGGTTTGGATTATTGGGTTGTTGGATTAATTTATAAATTATTAAATTAACTTAAGTTTGATATTTTTATTTAAAATAATATTATTTTAGCTTTTTTTTTAATTCCTTGATTTTAACTTAAGATCAAGTTTTAAAAAGTATTCTAGAAACAACCATTTATTACATTTGTATTCATATATTGCATAGATAGACTATATTACACTTTTCTTTCTATAAATCATTGGATTTTATAATAAAAAAGATGAAAAGATAAAATGTTATACATGTAAACAACTTGCAAAAGAATTATATAAATTAGTTGATTTTTTTTTATTCATTGAGTCAATTTACAAGTCATCTTAAACTAATTTTGTTTTATAGATATTTATTTATTTTTAATTTTGAATTTTCAAACCAGTTTACATACACTTCAATTAATTTTCCAGAATTTTCTATGAAAATTCTTAACAACCCGCTCCCTTTCTATAATCTAAAAAATAAAATAGAGTTAGTAACTACTAAATGAATTTTTTATTAGTATGAAAATAGTAAATATAATATATTTTTATATAATTGTTTTTAGTTAAGTTGCATTTGTTTTTATGGTTAAACTTGCTTTTTAAATTATTTTTCTCTCAAGAAAAATATTAAATTGATGATTTTGATGTTTAAAATAAAAAAATATTATTTTAATATATTTTTAATGTTAAAAAGTATTATAAAAACATCATTCACTGCAAACACACACTTATTTGCAAACATAATTGTATTTCTTTTTTGTTTTAAGAAATTAATAATATTTGTTGTTGGACTTTTAAAAATAGAAAAAGAGAGCTTGTAGTTTTTTTTTATATAAAAACAAAGAGCATAGGCCTTTTCTTTTTGTTTGTTACATAAAAAATAGTCTTTTTAAAATTAATTTTCAAACTTTTATATGTTTTATGAACTTTTAAAAAAATTAACAAACAGAAAATGAATTTTAGTCAAATTAAAAAATAAATATTTTTAATTGAAAAACGTTTTCCTCTTTCTAGCAAAAAAAATACACTTTTATTTATTTATCATTTTTTATAAATTATTTTCCTAAATAATACTACTTTCAAGAGAACAAATAATCTTTTTAACCGTAATAACTTACAAAGACAAGCAGCACAAAACACAACACAAAACACAATTGTCTGTCGTTTTTGTCATCTCTCTTTCCTCGTTCCTTTTCTCTTCTGTCTCCACCAATACAATTACAACAAACACTCAGATTCTCCCGGTCTTTCTCCCTTCAAACGACAAATCGTTTTCAACATCAGCACTTTACTTTCCACAGTAACACTTACCTATAAATCTCCCTCAGATAATTTCCTTTTGCAGTGATTTCGATTCTTTTGTTTTTCTTTGACTTTCACATCTGGGTTTGATCTCGAAGACCTGATTTTTCTTCTGTTTTTATTGTTTGATCTTCCTGCACTTGTTTCTAATTTCAGAACCCATCTCTTGAATTTCTTGATTTCTTTGATTTTTGGGGTTTAATCAGTGTTTTAGTTGGTGGGTTTTCCATGTTCTCATTGACCATCGCCGAAAGTTATAGTCTCGGGATCGTTTGTTGACGGTTTTTGCAGTGGAAGAGTTCAACTCTGATCGAGGAAGAAAATTAGTTGGCCTTTTGGTTTCTTTGAATGAAAAGTGAGAAACTTTATAGATGGCAAGGAATAGATGGGATAGAGAAGATGCACCAGAAAAGCACATCGGTTTGCTTCAACTGGTTCAAATGTTGTCATTGCTGGTTATTTTTGTTGCTGGTATAATCATAGGCATAGCTACAAGTCCTCACATCAACCAATACTTTGATTCGCTAGCGCAGTTAACTTTCACGAACAACGTTGCTTTTCCTAAGATATCTGATGATAATTGTACGATTTTGAGGACTTGTGAGAAGGTTGATTGTTTGAGTATGGAGGTGTTTGTTCATCCAGACAATTTGACTCATAGCATGACTGATGACGAGGTCCTTTGGAGGGCTTCTATGTTGCCATATAAGAAAGGGTATCCCTTTTATAGAGTGCCTAAAGTTGCTTTCATGTTTTTGACTAGAGGGCCTTTGCCTCTGTTGCCTTTGTGGGAGAGGTTCTTTAGGGGTCATGCCGGGTATTTCTCCATTTATGTCCATACTCCTGAAGATTTTGAGCTCAATGTTTCCACTGATTCTCCATTCTATGGAAGAAAGATACCAAGTAAGGTATGAACCAAAAACATATGGTTTTTAGGTTATGGTAATTCTTTATTCTTGCTTATTTTGATATCTATTGGAAATATACTTGACATTGCCATGATATGGATGCCGCAGATGTAATATCCTTCTAAATTGAGTTGGATAGGTTCAGATTCCTAATGAATTTACATGTGAATGTCCTTTCTGGAGAAAGTTTGTTGATGGATTTTTCACAATTCCTCTCTTTACGCGTGCGCTCGATTTGTACAGATACAGAGTAAAACAACCATAGGATTGATCACTTTTCAGTTGGACCATTTCACTCGTTGCCATCTAACTGCTGTTTCTTAAGAATTTAACAGCGTAATAAATTATCAGGATCACACTAAACATCAATTCGAAGATTGAATGGGCTGCTCATGAAATCTTGCATATCATTTTCTTCCTTGTCAAATTACTCTATGGATTTTGCACGGAGCATCTCTTCGCAAAAGTGCATGATAAGCCAACTATCACATACATGAATGCTATTGCTCAGTACAGATACTTGCCGCCATATAAAGCATGCAATTGATTAGTCTGCCAGTTTCATTCATACGAAATAGTGATATTGGAAGCTTTCTGCAGTTATTTACTCTACAGTCACAGTGGTTAGGTTAATAAGATGCATTCTTCCCGAAAAATATTTATGGTTGATGGTTTTTTTTTATGAAGAAATCCTGTAGTTACTGGAAACTAATTGTTTGTTATGGACTAGCTATTGTTGCGCTATTAGCTTTGTGTTATCTGCAAACAGAGCATTGCCTTTGTTTGTTTGACAAATGCACCTATGTTCTTCCATGAGCACTTTGTATCTGATAGAAGTGATGTGCACATGATTTGCATTTTGTATTTGCTTATGAATTTATTCAATTTTCCTCTCACCAGGATGTTGAATGGGGATCAATATCAATGGTTGATGCTGAGAAGCGCCTTCTAGCCAATGCCCTGTTGGATTTCTCAAATGAACGTTTTGTTCTCCTGTCTGAGAGCTGCATCCCAATCTACAAATTCTCTATTGTCTACAAGTATCTCATTCGTTCTAAACACAGCTTTGTTGAGTCATATGATGCACCTACCCGCTATGCACGTGGTCGTTACAACCAGAAAATGCTTCCTGATATTCATCTGTATCAATGGAGGAAAGGGTCACAATGGTTTGAGATCCAACGCGAACTGGCTGTTTATTTAGTTTCAGACACCAAGTACCACACCATCTTCAAGAAATATTGTAGGCCTGCATGCTATCCTGACGAGCATTACATTCCTACATACTTGAACATGTTCCATGGGTCACTTAATGCGAATCGGACTGTGACATGGGTTGATTGGTCAATCGTTGCACCACACCCACCAACATATGATGGTATTGATATTACAGAAGGCTTTATACAGTCCATTCGGAACAAAGGGAATCATTGTTCCTATAATTCAGAGATGACATCTGTTTGTTACCTCTTTGCTCGGAAATTCGCTCCAAGTGCGTTGGTTCCTTTGCTTAACCTAACCTCGACGGTAATGGGATTTTAATTTTCCTTTTCATATCTCGGAAGAGTTAAGATATCATTTCTATAGCTGTTTGGGAAAGTTGTGGTTGTGGCTTTTAAAAAGCTACAAATTGTAGCTTCTGCAAATAAAGCAAGAAAGAAGCTGTGATATACACACCTAAAAGCCACAGCTAAAAGCTACAACCACAATCAAATTATTGATTCCCAAACGCGCACAAGTTCATTGGTGGGGCTGCTCTCACAGCTCTCCAAAAAGTTTTGGTTTGGGGACATTGTACAGTTAGTTTTCATAGAGCATTGAGGTTTTTGACCATTGAGGAAATTACAATTTGTTCCACACATTTTTGTGACAGTACTAGGCTGCTTTTCAAAGAAAAGCAGCCACAACACAGAATTTAATAATTTTTTCTGCATTTATTCCAATAATGATGCGAAAGGCACACTTGAATGTTGATTGATCTCTTATTGCTTGGATGAACTTGTTCTTGTTACATATGATCTTGGTGCTCTAGACATACAAGTATCTAGTGACAACTTATCAATCCATTTTATTCTTTCTTGAAATTTTGTTAGCAAATGCGTTTCCTTGTGTTAAACTAGTCATCAATCATGTGTTTCATGAATTTGTTGAAAATTCCGAGTTAAAATATATTTTTAAGATGGTAAGTTCTTTGGAACATCACTAGTGATATGATTTTCTCTCGTGTGCAATGAATTATATTAGAGTAGGTTTTGACTCTTGTCAAAATGTAGAAAATCGGATGGTGGTGGTGATACATAAAAGAATGATTAAAACTCTATATTCATGCAAATAATTATTAAATTAAATATTATCAAGAAAAAATAATAAAAACATGACTTATTATCTACATGATAATACTGAAATCAAGATAAATGCTCTTTTTTTATATATATGTATGAGAACCTTTTCAATTTTTTTAGACGGTTATGAAATTAAAATTTTTATACCATTCACATAGTAATTATTTATATCTTTTCCTAGACACAAGACAGGGAGAGAAACAAGAAAGCAAATAAAAAATATTTTATAATTTAGATGAAAATATTCTTATAATTTTTTGTTAAAATTTAGTTATTATTCTGGATTCCAAAAGAGACGGTGATAAGATAAAGAAGGAAGAGAAGATAGAGATATGATTAATTGTGTTTGTTAACGATATTGTTTGTTTTATAGTGAAGATAAAATAAAATATAAAAAAATATATTTTATTTTTAATATATATTAGTAGCAAACTTATGTATTTTTAAAATAATATTAAATATTTTTTTGTATGATTTTGATAATAGTTGTGATAATGATTTTAATTCTATTTTTTTGAATTGTTATTTTTTTAATTTTTTTATATGATTATAATTTTTTTTAATTTTTTAATTTAATATTTAATTTTCTAGGAATTGAAATTCATGATTTTATTATATTAAGTGCTTTATATTTAAAACAATTTTTTAATTTAATATTTAATTTTCTAGAAATTGAAATTCATGATTTATTATATTAAGTGCTTTATATTTAAAGCGTGTTTAAGAATGTGGTTGCGGTTGCTTTTCACTCAAAAAAGCATGCTAATAATTTTTTTTATTTTTTAAAAATTATTTTTAAAATTAGTATATCAAAATGATTTGAAAACATAAAAAACACACTAGTGTGTGTTTGAGAATATGGTTGTAGTTGTTTTTCAAAATGTTTTTCACTCAGAAAAGTATGTCAATAAATTTTTTTTTATTTTTTAAAAATTATTTTTGAGATTATCACATTAAAAAGATTTGAAAATATCAAAAACATATTAATTCAAAGAAAAAAAAATTCAATTTTTTTTTAAATATTTTCCAAACGCAATATCAAACAGTATCTTAGTAAATCTGATTACAAGTTTTAAAAAGTTAATATACTTTTTAAAATATTTTTTATTTTTTATTTTTTATTTTTAATTGAGTTATTCTAGTTGCATAATTTAGACCACGAGTTTAAAAAAATATCCGTGTTAACTTAACTCTAATTAATATTTTTTACATATATTTCATAAACAGTTTTTTATATATTTTTTACTAATTTTCAGTAACTAAATATTATTTTTTATCTAACAAATAGTTTAACAGTGTTAAAGTGCGGCATGGAAGCAAGTTATTTTCTATATTACCTTTATTTTATTAATTTAAAATACTTTTTAATACTGTAGAAATAACAACATAACAAGTAAGCAATTACAAGGAATGTTAGGGTATTTTAGATATTGATTAAGATATCTCAAATAAGATGATTTCCAAACATGGATATTATTTGTGGCTATATATTCCAACCCCCCCCCCCTCAACCCTCAATTCTTCCATGTAATGGAAATAACAACATAACAAGTAAACACTTACAAGGAATGTTAGGGTATTTTAGATATTGATTAAGATATTTCAAATAAGATGATTTCCAAACATGGATATTATTTGTGGCTATATATTTGTAAAATTATCAGAAATCTCCTTAATTATATTTCCAATATTAGTAATGTAAACCCTTTATTTAAACTATTCAGGTTATCCAAGAAATACATTTTGTTCCCTTTTCTAACAGATAAAATCTATTCTTTTTTTTTTTAAATATATTTTCTTAACTTTCCAATTATCCCAATTAAAAATTTTAAAAAAATTCAAGCCTAAATATAAAATCATATGTTAAGCCTAAAAACTTAAAATTCAATAAGCATATTTTCTTAACTTTCCAATTATCCCAATTAAAAATTTTAAAAAAATTCAAGCCTAAATATAAAATCATATGTTAAGCCTAAAAACTTAAAATTCAATAAGCCAAGCTTGTTGGGCCTTTCAAGCCTGCATATCTGGTTAAACATATCATTTTATTGATTTTTTAAATTAACTATAAATAATACTTTGTTAATATTCATCCATTTTATAATACCTAGATTAACTTATACAAAACCAACAATGATTTGAGAAAATTCAACCTCGAACAAGAGAGAGATTGAGTTAGTACTTGGGTTCTTAAGAATCCTAATCCCAACCCCTAACAATGAAATCTTCAAAAAAAAACCTAAAACAAGCTAGAAATCAAGAAGCTAGAAACCAAGAAACCAAAGCTCATAGTTCTCATAGTTCTCATATTCTCTTTTAAAAAATCTTTTGAAAGTTAATACTTAAAATATTTTTATTTTTTAAATGAGACCAAAATTAAAGCTAAACAATTAAAATATTCAAATTTGATTATTGACTAGACTTAAAAATAACTTTAATTACAGATTTGATATCTTGATATAGGTTATTATTGTATAAATCTCAATTCCTAACCTTATATTAACTTTATTGGAAAATATTTTATTTAACTAAAAATTTTTAAATTTTTATATTCATAGGGTTAACATAAATATGAGTCAAAGGGTTCGATAGCCTTATAATTCTTATTTATTTCTCATTTGTTTTAAGGATAATTTCAAAAAATAAAATATAAGAGAATTATTAAGAATTTAGATAATTTCAAAAAATACAATTTGAAAGAATTATTAAGAATCTTGATCTTGGCATTTTTAGTAAAGTTATTAAAGTTGACATGGTCTACTCTATTATCTAAATCACAAGTTAGAGCAAGTTAAAATGTTGTTTTTATAAGAATTTTTTTAAAAAAATTAAATTAGATATTAATCAGGTTGACCAGTTAAATTCAATCAATTTTAGCTTATTTTTTAAAACCTAACTTAAACCAAGTGTTAAATTGGCTGAGTCTCGGGTCAGTAAGGAAAATACATCAAGCCAATAAGCCATTACATTTACATTACAGTAACTCCATGTGCAAGCCAATACATTTATATCGTTTTATGGGGTGTAGAATAACATTAAGGAAAATACATCAAGCAAAGAGCGTTCAAGTGCTGTGAAGCAGCTCGGGACAGCATCACATCCAACGATCCCACAATCCATAGTATGAATTCACAAAAAAAAGAGAAATGAACCCTCCCATAAGCTAATGAAACAGGTTCAAAATTGTTTAGTTAACTGTTATGATATTCAGTGGCCGCACAATTCACCTGATGACCTGAAAATTTACATGGATGATTATTACACAAGAGTCTCTCTAGCACTAGTCAAGTAGATTAACGTTGACTCATCAATGGGATATCTTTAATAAATATTAAGGGTCAAAAAGTACCAAGAATAATTGATCATCGTAAAGGACTCATGCATTAAGCACTTACTAAACGCATAGCGGCACTTCTACCATTTATGCTTGCAAGTGAAACTAGCAACCAGGGACAATCCCCGGATCCCCACGCACATATATCGATGATGTAGCATTCCTGTCCCAACTCAAGATCAATCCCTGAAAGAACCAGGAAATTTATCAAGCCATTCCGTGCCCGGAATCATGCTGCTGCCTGCTGGTGGCTGCGTTGCCATTCAAGGGCTCCTGATGAATGCTGTTCAGCCATATCTGAAGGTCCATTTGGCTGGCACAGAAGAAGAACCATTACAATACAAGTAGCATGAGGGAATATAATCTAATATCCAGGAAACATACAAGAACAGCCAGGCCAAATTTAGGTCACTTTCCACAACACCAAAGAGAATCTAAGCATGCACATCTACACTTACAGATTCTGAAGTGAATGACAAATTATATAAAATTTCTACAGAGGTTTGTAGATACACCATTCTGTATGCTATATTTATAGATATGGTTATGGCCAGCTACAAATGAACCAAATGTTAGAAGAGTAGATGAAACAAGTGTACTGAAAATGAATTAGCACAACGTTTTAACTGTCTTTCTTGCTATTTGCACATAATCTCGAAATAATTACTTTCAGTGAAATTTGGCTTTGTTAAAGGGAACACAGAGGAAATCAAATGCATCTGCAATTCCTTTTCAGATGGATAATTGTCTGAAGGCTGAAACAAAAGAGGCTGGTGAGGCCAGATTGAAACTCCATCTAAAAGTGACAAATTTACTGCTAAATCCTGTCTTAAGGATTTGGTACAAATATGGGAGGTATGACTTCCACTCAATGAGCAATATGTACTCAGCAACAACAATGATCTAAAATTTTCTGTCCAAACAAAAATTAAAACAATGAGCAGAGAGGATTTCATATCAAGGATTCAAGCTGTTACCTGCTGCTGGTTGTCTTCCCCTTGTTGTCCAGCCATCTGAGAGGATCCTACAGGATGGTGTCTGACCACTGAAGGTGATCCATTAGAATATTGTCCTCCATTTGGTAAGGATCCTACAGGATGGTTTCTGACCATTGAAGGTGATCTGTAAGAATATTGTCCACCATTCTGTGAGGATTGAAAAGGTGCATTTGGTGAGGATCCTACAGGGTGGTTTCTGACTACTGAAGGTGATCCGTAAGAATATTGTCCACCATCCTGTGAGGATTGAAAAGGTGCATTTGGTGAGGATCCTACAGGGTGGTTTCTGACTACTGAAGGTGATCCGTAAGAATATTGTC